ATAGATAGATAGATAGATAGATAGATAGATAGATAGATAGATAGATATTTATATAGTTATAGAAAAATATAGTAGTTTCCACTCAGCAAATATATATACATATAAAACCCCAGCTATTAAAGCTTCCAGGGGAAAATAAAAGATTAATAAAAATAAACTGTTGGGAGGATTGACAGCTGTCCTGACTGTTTCCACTTTTCTTCACCATGGACTCCACACAGTGTGGAAATGGCCTCATAACTCCTCCCACATTGATCCATCCTTTACCAGTCGCTCTCCCTCCAGCTCTTAAGGTCCCCAGTGCCCCCCCCCCCCCCCGTCCTCACCTCCACCACTCTGTCCTGTTCATTCCCGTCTGTGTCAGCCCGTTAAAAAGTCGGGTTTTTTCCCTCTGTTTTAGATGGATGGCGTTTCCTGCTCAGCCGTGCTTTTTTTTGTTGGTCCAGTCGTCCTTCTCCCCTCCACCAGCTCATTTCTGTATTCAGACTTACATATCTGAACTTTGGTTTTGTTTCAGCTGAAAAAAACAAGGATGAATAATGTTTCTTTGCCTCGTTAGACTACAGTGAAGCTACGTCCCACGTGCACGAGGATCCACCAGAGAGGCTCTGGCAAGTCCGTCTGGCTGCAGACTGCAGGAAGCCAAGGATGGATATCCAACTCCCCCACATCCAACTCGGCCATTTTGATTAGGTCACCAATAGGAAGATCCCAGGAGAGAAAATCCTACCTGCTTCATGGCAATATAGACAATCATTTAAAAATAGTGAAATGAATCTAGCAAACACAGAATTGAACTCTATCCATAATATTATGTTTAAATAGTGGATGTTAAATAGGTTTGTACAATAAGTCCAAACAATTTAAACCAAAAAATATTTATTTATCACAATTATGAAGGGTGGAAGGTCAGGGTCAGGGTTAGGGTTTAGGGTTAGGGTTAGGGTCAGGGTTAGGGTCAGAGTTAGGGTTAGGGTTAATGTTAGGGTCAGGGTTAGGTAAGGTTAGGGTCAGGGTCAGGCTTAGGTTTAGGTTTAGGGTTAGGATTAGAGTTAGGGTTAGGTTTAGGTTTAGGGTCAGGGTTAGGGTCAGGTCTAGGGTTAGGGTCAGGGTTAGGACATTGTTTGTCTTCTGATTTCGTATAGACAGTAAAGTTTCGTTTCCACCTCAGAAAGCTGCTAGTCACATGACCTAATCAAAATGGCCGACTTGGATGTGGGTGGAGTTGGATATCCAACCGAGGCTCCTACAGGCTGCAGACAGAGGCTGCTTCAGCGGCCGGACTCCTGCAGGCCGACACCTTTTAGGAAAATAAGAGGCTCATGTTCCCGTTTAAGGGTTCAGTTGTGTTTGACTGTGGGAGAAAATGGATTTGTCCGTGAGAGTGTGTGAGTGTGTTAAGTGTCTCGCACAATGACTGTGACACCTGAGAGCCTTTGTATCGCCCGCCAAAAAACTAAACAGAGCAAAGCTTTATTGTCCACTCAGCTTAGAAATGACATCTGACTGAGAGCGCGTCCCTTTGTCTGATTATTTTTAAAAAGTTGAGGCCTTTCAGGCTAAGCTGGGATTTATTTGCATTTTAAGTTTTTCTCATTCCGGTCAAAATGACAAAAATAAATGGGTAAATTGGATTTCTCTAGAGCGTGATGTCCAGTTTATGATGTC